AGCATCAGTTAAATCTCCCTTAGCCTCCCCTATGTTTCTAGTTGGTAGAAATCCAGGGATCAAATTTTAAGCTGACATTCTTCCCTTAAATTCAAGAACTAGATGCAGTATAATGGCTTCCCACTTAGAGACCCAAGTTATAGGCAGAGACTGGAGACTGTCTATCTGTCTGTGTGGACTGAGTGCCTGCTTACACACCACTGATCATGTGATGAGCCTTCAGTCCCCAGTGAATTTGTATATAGGACCTTTGGGAGCTAATTAAGTCAGGGTAAGGGCTATGTTCTAAGAACAGGAAGAGACCAAGTTCACTGTTGTGCACACAGTAACGAAAGACATGCATGGATATCACCAGGGGACCCTCTCAGGCACTGGGTCATACAGCCATCTTGGGCCTCCTGCCCCCGTGACAAGCTTCCCTGTCATCAGCCTAGAATGGGAACCTCAGGATCCAAAGGTGTAGATGGGTGCAATGTCAATCCCACCAGGTGAGAACGGCTCTAGAGCAGCAGAGAAGGCTCGGTGGGTAAACACAAGTGCTGGCAACACAAGCCTGATGACGTGAGTTCCGTCCCCGCTACTCATGTTTCAAAATAAAAGCCTAATTCAGTGGTGTACCTCTGTAATCTCAGCACTCCTTCTTGAGATAGGAGACAGGGACAGAATCACCCAGAAGCTCGCAGACCAGCTTGGGGTGCACAGCACAGCAGCAGCACCAACAATATGGACTGCCTCAACAAGGATGGAAAGAAAGAACTCCTGAGAGTCGTCCTCTGAACTCTGCGTGTGTGCCGTGGCACCTGCTTGCAAGCCGACGCTTATGCTAGTTGATCTTTTTTTTTTTTAATTAAAAATCAAAGATAAAAAATAGCAATTAGTTTATGAAAAGAGAAGGGGAGAAGAATCCTAAGGCTTGTGTTGGGGAAGCGCACAGGGTCCTTGACATGCTGAAAGAACACAAGCGCAGCCGGTGCTCAGGAGCTGGGTACCAGTGAGAGGCGGATGTGGCCACGGGCACAAGGCCTTCTTGACATCAGAGAGGATCTGAATCTTGACTCTGGTTGAAAAACAAACCCAACTACTGCAGTGTAAGATAAATGCCTTCCAGACTAAGATGGTACCAGTGGTGACAGAGATGAAGAGAAACTGTCAACGGAATTCCCGTCTCGCCCCTTCCTCTCTGCTGAGCTTCAGTGTGACAGGAACCTCTAGGTGGGGATATTCTCTGTCTTCACAGGGCTTTCTAAAAACAAGTTCTTGGTGGTGTCAAGCCCTTGTGGGAGGACCAGGCTGTCAAGTGGGGTCAGGTGTTAACCATATATACACCCCACTTCTACTTGGCTTCCAGGGGAGCTTTCTTCGTTACAAAATACCATTGTTTGTTATGATGCTCTAGTTCCCAGTGGGACTGTGATAGAGAAAAACCAGATGAAGGAAAGTAGAAAGATGAATGATCACAGTGGACCGAGACTCTTATTAGATGAGATGTGGCTGAGGAATGTGGAAGAACAGACAATTATATGTGGTGCTTTCTGAAACTGGTGGGTGTGGAGGGGAAGATGGAAATGAAGCTGACAGCCCTGGAAATTCCCTTCCAGAGTTCTTAAGCCAACACAGCCATCAAATGCTTTGGTGTTTAGTAAATCTATTCATTGGCATAATAGGATACTATATACTAATGATTTTAATCATTTTAAATTTTTTATTTATGGGAGCAAGGCAGGGCACACCACAACACATGTGTGGAGATTGGAGGACAATTTGCCAGAAGTCTGCTCTCTCTGCTGTATGAGGTCATAGGGATCGATTCAGGTCATCAGACTTGGTAGCAAACACCTTTGGCCCTTACACACTGAGCCATTCTACTAACCCACACTATATAATTAAATACTAATACTTTATAGTAAACCTATATGCACCAGTTTTACTCTCTCATCAAAGAAGTGTATGCCCCAGCCCTCTGATTAGACCAGTTCTATCCTTTTGCTTCTTGATCTGCTGTAAGGCTAGTTTATCCCATAATCACCACTGAAAGAATGTCAGGAGGCAAAAGGAAGAAGAGTTAATGTCTCAAGCTTGGTCTTTACGTGAAAGTTAGCTCCCCTCCTTTTTCATATCAAATGCATTGTGGTGTTTTGCTTTAATTCTAAACTTAACACAATTTAGAACCACCTGCGAACAGACTCTCAATGGAGGACTGCCTAGATCAGTTGGCCTGTGGGCATGCCTCTGGGGGACTGTCTTAAGTTAACTGATGTGGAAAGAAACAGTCCACTGTGGGTGACACATTCCCTAAACACGGGTTATTAAACAGTGGAGAAAGTGAGCAGAGCACCAGCAAGCAAGACAGCATGGCTGCGCTCTTTTCTCTGCCCTTGACTATGGATGTGTTGTAAATAGCTATTTGTCTTTTAAGTCCCTGCCACCTTGACTTCCCTTAGTGAACTATACCCTGGAATTTGAGCTCAGATAAACCCTTTCTGCCCTAAGTTCTTAGGTTTGTTTGAGGAGGATGGTTTAGTTTTAGTTTGTTTCTGAATTCAGACGTCTTATCACAGCAACAGAAATGAACTAGAACACACTTCCTGGGTCAGAGGTGGAGGTGTCTCATCCACCCCTTAGCTTACTACACGAGAAAAGTTGCAAACAAACAGAAGGAAACACAACAGCTGGAAGGGCAGGTGTGCAAGATGAGAGGTTGTATGAAAGCGTGGTGAAAAGGCCACTACACTGTACAGAAAGGGTACAGAAGGCACTGCCTACCTGCACTCTCTGAGCAAGACAACGAGCAACTTCCAGACAGTGACTGACCAATGGGGCTTATTCTTTCGAGGGCATTATCCTGGTGGTCCGGTGGCGGCTGACTGAACCAGGAACAGCTCTCTAGGGTGCTCCTTTGCTGTACCCGATTATCAGAGAGCAAGTTCAAAAGATTAGACTACATAATGGTGGCATTGGCTTAGTTTACTTTGTCCTGCGTTACCAATTTTCAATTGAACAGCTAAGGGAGTGGCAACAGGAAACAGGTTCTGTTCTATGTCAGATGACTGCCTCAATTGCTATGCAAGAGATGGAGTCATGGCCCCATATATCCCTTACCCAAACCAGTCTTGGTGAGCCTTCATCATCCCTTCCCTAAGATGTTAGAATGCTCTGTTTTCCTCAACAACATGTGGGGGTGGGGAAGAGCACTTGACTGCTCTTCCAGTGGACCCAGGTTTTATTCCCAGGACCCACATGTTGGCTCACAACTATCTATAACTCCAGTTCCAGATGATCTGATGTCCTCTTCTGCCTCCTTAGGCACTGAATGCACATGGGGTACAGACATACATGCAGGCAAACATTTGCACACATAGAAATTAGTAGTCTTTTGTAAAAGGAGAAAGAAAGAAAAATTAATCATACAGGCCAGAGAAACAGCAGCAAGGGCTCCTCTGCCTGTGACATACACTCACTGATACACAGACAGATACACACTTCACTGAGTGGGCTGCATTTATTTGAGGGAATTTATAAATCTCTTGTTTTAGATTAATAAATACAGTGCATTTATATAGATTTTGTCTTATAATTAAATTTTTAGTATGTTAACATTTTAAAGCAATGGGAAAGGAAGAGAATGATTGAGAACCAAATATGGTCCTATAGAGATTGCTCAGTGGTTAGAGCACTGACTGTTCTTCAGAAGAGCTCAGTTAGTTCCCAGCACCCACATGGCAGCTCACAGCCATCTGTAATTCCAGGGGATAGTTGCCGTGGGTTGTTAGTAAGTAATGAAATTAATCACTATAACACATTTCTTCCTTGATTCAGTTTAATGGAAGAAGAATTAGGATTTATAAGGCAGTGATTTTAAATTAATCCCAGCAAATCTACAGGCCTCCCCTAGCTAACTAAGTTCAGTTGTGTACATTTCCCTAATATATTTCTTTGTCTCCAGCTGTTTGATGAACTGTATATATAAAACACTGCAATTCAGATAATTTATATGTAATGCAAATAGTCAATATGTAAAGTATTCTGTTGCATCTTACATTACAAGGAACGTAGCTGAAGAAAGGCACTGCTTTTTGTACACACAGATTGATGTAACATTCCTGCAAATTTTCCAAAGATGTCATTTCTACTACCTTCGCTTACCCGTTAAGATCTTAGAAGTAGTATAGCCACCAAAATGCCCAGGGATAGCGCACACCACTGTCCACCTGTGTTGGAGGCTTGGGGACGCAGCTGTGCAGATCCCCCAGCATTAGTGTCTTTGTCACCATGTGAATCCTACCAAGCACGTCAGTAGTCTGCAAGAGTGTCAGTCAAACCAGAGGCATGCTATGATTGTCCCCAACCACAGTCTGTCCTTGTCATAATCTGCATCTTGGTGCAGAAAAGGCCTTAGAGTTGGCACAGTGGTCTTCCCCATAAGCAGGGATGAGGGAATGCTGTTTATTTAATAAGATGCTGAAAGTGTGTTAACAGGGATTTTCTTTAAGATTTATTTAATTTTTTCATGTGTGAATGTTTTGCCCTCATGCTATGTATATGCACCATGTGTGTGCCTGGCACCTGAGGGGGCAGAAGAAGGCATCAGATCCACTGTAACTGGAGCTATGGGCAGTTGTGAGTTGTCACATCAGTGCTGGGTCCAAAGCAAGAGCAGCAAGCTGAGTCCTCTCTCCAGCCCTGGTGAACAGGGACATCTGCACCAGGACCATGTGTTCAGGCTGAGGGACTTATCACTGTAGCAAGTCCTTCACTTTAATGCCAGTTATTATATGCTTTCTGACAATAAGTATAGAAAACTGTGGGTGAATAGATGGCTTTTGAAGACAACTTATATCCAAAACAGACATTTCTGGGGTATAAAAGGTTTTTTTTCCCCTTATTTTAGATAACATACATACGACAAGAATATGAAACAAAATTCAAAGGGTTAATGCCTGCATCTCTGAGACAAGAACTTGAGGACACCATTGCCTCCCTGAAGTCACAGGTAACTCCTAGAGCTGAGCATGCTCGAAGATGTAGGTGTGGCATAGGTGGGCATGCCTTCTGAAAAGAAGCTGGCAACTAGCCTGATTCTTCCTCACTCCAGAAGTCACTGTGAGCCCCACACTTGCCCATCACCAGCGTGAACTGGGTTGGTCCCCTGAACCTGGGTCAGCCACGGCAACTTTGATTCTTCCACAGTCCAGTGCAGTTTCACCGTTCCCTCCTGGCTCAGGGTCTCAAGTGCCTTTCTGCAACACCCTGCTGCTTCCCCGCTGTGCTAAAACGCGGAGGAACAAAGCATCTTTAGTTTAGAAGCATTTTTTATGGTATGTTTTATATGGTTTTCAAAGATATATTTTTTAAGTCCAAGGCAAAATAGTGTTGATATGCAAGCAATTAGGTTTGATGTTTCTTATTGAAGTATGTGGTTCCTAAAATGTAAGGTGAGAGATGGATACTTGAGAAACTGAGGCAGGAAGATCATGAATTCAGGGCCAGCCTGAACTACATAGCAAAATCCTCTCTCAAAACAAACAGACTTTTGTATTAAATGTTGTTTTAAGGGTTTTTTGGGGAAGAGGGGATTGAGATGGTGTTTTACCCTGTGGCACTAGCTGTCCTGGAACTCATTCTGTAGACCATACTAGCCTGGAACTCACAGAGATCTGCCCACCCCTGCCTCTTCAGGATTAGGATTAAACTTGTGTACCATCATGTATTGAATGTTTCATTCATTGTCAGCCTATGAGGTTTTTATGTGTTTTGGGGTATTTGTTTGCTGTTTTGGGGTGGTTTTGTTTTTTATTGTTGTTGTTTTAGAAAATGTCTCTACTTAGTTCTGACTGTCCTGGAACTCACTGAGTAGACCAGGCTGGCCTTGAACTCACAGAGATCTGCCTGTCTCTGCCTCTGGGATTAAAGGTGAGCGCCACCACACCTGACTACCTATGAGTTTTGAACTCCCACCTGAGGAGTCTACATAGTCTTATTTCCAACACATCAGGAAACTGAATGCTAAGAACTGTACCTGGCACATAGCAGGTGCTCGTTAAATAATAAAATAACCAATGTAGTTTAACAATCTCAACATGATGTGTTTATTTATGTGAAATGACTGTGTGACACCAAACCTGGTGGTGTACACACCTTTAATCCCAGCACTCGGACGGCAGAAGCAAGTGGATCTCTGTGAGTTCAAAGCCAGCTTGGTTTATATAGCAAATTCCTGGCCAGCCAGGGCTACACAGTGGTGGGGAGGAAGAAAGGATTGTGACGTTCGCTTGGGTCAGACTGACCTAGAACTTGCTAGGAAATGCAGACTGGCCTCCAACTCCTGAGAGCCCTGCCTCAGCTTCTAGGTCTTGAGCCATCGTGCCAACCTGAAGCAGATGTTAGCTGATGCTTTCCTGTTTCCCTCGGCAAGAAGGCCGAAGTGAAGGGTTGTTTCCATCAGTCCTCTTCCTGCTGCCCCCTGCTGCCCTTGGCGGCTTCTAATAGGTTCTCTGTGCTGGCCTCTGCATATGAAGACAAACGGCTGGAGAAGAGAGCACGGCGTGAAGGGCACACAGAATTTTTATTTTTTTTTTATGTGAAAAGCACTCAGAGGTGTGGGTTACCCATCAGCTTCTCGGAGGAGTGGCCATGGGGTCAGCTACAAGGGTCTGATGCCCTCAAAAGAGATTCTTATTTTGGAGGCACGGGGGCAGGGCGAGAAACCCAATGCCCACCTGCGTGGCTTCTGTTATCGTTCATATCATCTCACTGTGACAAAAGCCACTTCAACCTCCTGGAACTGGATGTTGATCCAGAGAGAGCGTGCTGCCAGCTGCATGAGGGCCTCGGAGTTGGCAGCTGCGTGGAGGAGTCGGAGGCCTTAGAGTGTGCAGATTCAGCTGGAAGGCACAGGTGCCTGTGTTTTTGAAAATTGTTGGAATTCCAATCGATCGCAATGCAGGGTGGGGGAGGAAAGCTAAAGCAGTGCGCCCCTGCATCTGTCAGAATTATCAATTGTCCTGTGGGTCATCTGAGCAATCAGATAAAATGGAGCACGGGCACTGTTTCGAATAAGTAACCCAGGGACCGCTGTGATGCACACCCATTTGGGCAGCCTGTGCTTTCTCTGTTTCAGGCAGTCTTGGTTCTGCCAGCTGTACTCTTGCATAACTACGCCTCAGAACCAGCCGTTGCCATGGTTTCAACTCAGACCAAAGAAGCAAGAGTAAACAGTTCTGAGCAGATCAAATGCCGCTGACTCTCGATTACATTAAACCATAGTTAAAGCTGTCCCCAAACTGTGTTTTATGTGGTTGGATAAGGTGTCTTTAATCGATGCCTGATATACAGGTGTCATTGATCCCATAGACATTTATATTTCCAAGAAGTCAAATGTACTATAAAGACCTCACTGGAGAAATCATGCTAGGCAACAGCTTCTCCTAACCCCAAGCCTTCCACTCCATGGTGGTACCTGCTGTGAAGTCCATTCTGGACATTTACTATGAGGTATATCTCACCACACTTATGGCCCTGGGAAGCAGCTTCATGAACTCCATTTCACAGATGACACAGCAAGAGCTGAGTAACCTTCCTAGAGCCTTTAGAGGCCAAGCCAGGGATGGAGCTCAAGTTGGCCCAACTCCAGGAAAAGCCCAGCTCTTTCCACTCCAAAAGCCTGTCTCTAACCTCAGGGAATCCCCAGAATGGATTTGAGGTTTCCAGAAAGCAGTAATTTTCTTTTCACTTGCTCTCTCGCTCATTGAACAGCTTGTGCATACCAGCTACATGCCCAGCCCTGTAAAAGAAGCCGGGGACTGGGAGACAGACGGAGTCACCCCTCTGCAGAAAGCCCTTAGGTTTGGGAACAGATGTGAAAGCATAACCACAAGGCAGTGTGAGAAGGCATAGAGCCCAGGATGCAGGGGAGGGACTGCTGCCTTGGGACAGGGCTAGGTGGCAAGTGCTCCAAAGTGAGAGCCCAGCCAAAGGGCAACAGAGAGAACAGCATGGTGTAAGGTGGCAGTGTGGGAAGGGCATGAGGACAGAGGGAGCCACCAAGATAGAATGGCACCAGATCAAGATGGCCCCCGGGCTAGTTATGGTTGGTTCTGTGGCCTCTGATGGATTTTTGGTAGGGACAGAGTGTGACTAGATGTAGGAAAATGCATTATTAATATTCACTTCCTCTGAGTTTTATCCAGAGAATTATCTGAGTTGAAGGGAAATGCCAGCATACTGTGTGTGCAGGGTTGACATACGCATTTACCTTTCTTATACGAGATGTCTTTCTAGGTCCTCTTTCTGCAAAAGAGAGCATCCATCCTTCAAGAAGAGCTGACCACCTACCAAGGCAGAAGGTATGAGCAGTGAATGAAATGCCTTCCCATTAATTTGTTCCCTGTACCCCTGGAGTCTTTAGCTTGACATGCAAGTCTCCACTGAAATGTCTAGACACAGATAGTCTGGATAGGAAGACATTCGTAATGAACAGCTTGTCTTGAGCAGTCACCCACCTCTTTAATCACAGGACTGAGATTCATCAGAACAAGATTTGGGGATCTCAGGGTGTGGCGAGTAGGGACCTCACCTGGGCAGTCAGGCAAGGTGTGGTCTTGAGGCCCAGCTGTGGACTGAAGGAGACACCATCTTCCTTTAAGACTGTAGCATGATGCAATTCTCTGTGATGGCTCACATCTTCAAAGTCCCTATCCCTGGGGGTTTGGCACTGTTCTCCAGACCAGAATAAGTCAATAGCTTTGTGGTGTTAAACATTCACAGAGATGGGGTATCCTGGTGTGCAGGACTGTGGGATACAGGAGCCCTTTTTTAAAGGTTCCCAGTGATATCACCAACCAAGGTGTTGTTTGCTGCTGGTCCAGGTCAGTCAGGCAACTTTGCTTTCAAGTGCAGTCACAGGCCGGACTGCTTACTTGGCATCGAAATAAAAGGAATGAGCTTGTGAATCATTTACTTTTCAAAAGATTCTGTGCGCCTGATGATGATAAGATCAGTTGCTTATAGGCATACGTGATGAAATTTTGATAGCAAATACCCTTTTGAACCTCCAGCTCCTTCAGAATTGTAACACATTTTACCACTGACAGACCTAGTCAGGCTGAAAATCCTAACATGGGTTTTACTTTGCAGGTAACTGCATGGGAGAGCATGACAGGTGAGATTATCTGAGCTGCACCATGGACTCCGTCCAGCAGGTTTGAAGATTTGGATATTGTGAACTGTGAGACCAATGACTTTTTTTAACGCTTAAGTGTAATTGAGATCATAAAAACATGCATCATCCATACCCTGGGTTGGCTTTATTTGTGTCTGCCTAAGTTATTTTTTACCATTTCTTTCTGACCCCATGTTTGTATTAGAGTAGATGCTGAAGATTGCTTGCACAGGGCAGACCTAACTGCCTGTGTGTGCCTTGGTAATGCTTTACAGGGAGCTTGCAAGTTAGGCATGATTGGAACCATGGTTATAGTATCATATCAAACCCTTAACCTGTTGATGCTGTTCCCATATTCATGTTCATGTGTTAAAATGGCATGTTGTACTCTTCTGTTTTCTTTCAACATCTCATCACACCTCCTCTGCTAAGTAGGACATATACATGGTATTTTCCCCCAACAAATATTGACTACCTCAGTTTCTGCTTTGAAGGAAAATACCTTGTATCATGTCAAAGATCAACTCATAATTTCAGCATGAAACTGCTGTCCAGAGTCAAATCGCTGGGTCATGCTTGTCCTGTAGGTCTCCAGCCCGATTGGGGCTGCAGGGTTGCAGGGTGGGAACACTGTGCAGGCAGCTCTGGTTTTCCTGTTACTTTCTTGATGTCTCCTGTGTGGTTGTTGCTTTGATTGTCACATTGGTCCATGATCCTTAAGAAAGCCTGACAGCATTTGGCTGTGTTTTGAGGGCACAGCCTATTGACAAGCAACTGCGCCTATCCATTGGTCTTATCTGCAGTTTTTGCTCTTTATGAATGGTGGTTAAGCCTGGATTGCTTTTCCCACACCAGCTCTGTGCTGATTGGTCAGCTGGAGCTGCAGTTCCAGAGATGCTCCAGTTTCATTTGAGTGGTCCTGGGCTGAGCCACGGGCCTTTTGAGACCTCTAAAAATGTAGTGAGTGGGAGGGGCAGGGCCTGTAATCATCTGGTTTACTGAGAGGAAAGGAGAGATCGTGTATTTATTCAAAAATCTTTTCTCTCTCCCGTGCTCAAGTTGCCTGTCATTTGCTGTCCGAGAATTAGTTATCCTTACTTGTACTTTGTCTGAGACACGGGGTAGATATGAAAAACTAGATTTTACAACCATTTCCAAAGCCAGGGCAGGTCAGTCTGTGTGGTGGCCATCCATAGGAGGCTGGCATCTTGCACAAAGTAATCTTTGGGGAGTCACCATCTTCCTGGTGCCTCCCAAGTGTCCTTCTCCCCAACCCCTCCTCCAGAAGTATAAATTTGTGTCCTGTGAATGATCCAGAACATTTGGTAAAACACAAAATCATAGCAGCTGCTATTAAAGCCACCTAACCAATGACGACAGTTGACACTCACGTGGTGACTTAGCACTCGAACAAAGAAGGCTGTGTGGCTGGTATGTGCTTCTGTGAGGACCATGAAAAGCAGGTTGAGGTCAGAGGATTTCAAGGTTATCATCGGCCTGCACTGAAAATATTTAATGAGTTGTTTTGTTGCTGGAATTGGAACTCCCACCCAGGGATATTTGTTTTCCATGAGGAAGTATCAGTGGGTGCTTTGGAAACTTGCCTGCTATTCTTTCTTTTCTTTATTTCAAGGCTTATGGAATTACCAACACTGATGAACCTTTGGCATGCATCAGATCCCATTTCCCCTCTGCAGTGCGCCGAGTATGTCGGGAGTAAATCGAGTAAAACTTTGGGTCTGTTTGATTGGATGTGAGTTTTTGTGAAGGTTCTCTGATAAAGGAAGAGAGAGGGAAATTGCTTTTGGCATGTTTGAAATTCCTCGCTGAGTTGAGGGTTGAGTATATAAGTGACTACTGGGACAAAACGCCAGTGCTCGGGAAATAAATTATCAACACTGTGCCTTCTTATAAAATCATCTAGGGTTGCATCCTTGCTTTTATCTGAGGGAGGATCAATTGTTCATCGCAAGTGCCTAATTTAGTTACAGCTCCAGGTATCGTTGCTGGCTACCATGCTTGAGCTTCCATCTGTGCCTTTTCTAGTCCAACATGTAATTGTCAACAGGTGGAGGCTGATAGGGCATTTGGAACACTGAGAAAGGGAAGCTCATCTCGAGGCGCTGTGGCTGGGTTTGAGTGCTAGACATTCTGCAGGAGTCAGGCCAGGGGAGAACCCGAGGGAAGCCGGCATTCAGTCACCTGCCTGGATCATAGTTCCCTATCAGTCCACTTCTGTCTCCCCAGCAGTCGGACCTTTTGGGAGTCTGACCACTGATTCTGCAACCTCCCCACTCACCAAAGGACTCCACAGAGGACCGCTATCAAGGGATACAGTGGAGAAGGAGGAAATCTGAGAGAGAGGGAACAGAGGACTGATTTGCTTCATAGACCGCACGAAAGTCTTGGCGGCAAGGTGGCTAGAAGGGACTTGCTTGTGTGCTGAAGCCATTCTGTAAATGTTGCATATTAACGGGTTCTTCAGACACTGGCATGCGCTTATGATGGCGAACAACCTCATTAAAGGGGGTCTGCAGAGAAAAGTACCGAAGGAAGGAACAGGGAGTTTGAATTAACAATTAACAGCGTCCTCATTGAAGTGCATCACCAGCCAGGGAAGGCAGCGGCGTTTGTGCTTTCTGTCTAAGGGTGAAAGGAAAGGTAAAACATCAAAAATGGTGGGAGAAAAGTTTCAGAACACAAGGTCATTTGAATTCATAGTTTCCTTAAAAGAGCTCCCCCTTCGGAGCTTTCATATTCTGTTCAGAAAGGTCGCCTCTTTTAAGCCTTGTCATTAAAGACAGTTTGCTCTTTAAAGTGAATTATCAAAGGCTCTAGAAATTGCGAGTTACTGAACTAAAATGCATGATCAATTTGAAGTGCGCTAACTAAAGCTGCTTAGCTGTGGATGTGCTTTTGTGCCGGCAGCCGCTTTGATAAAGCCAGGGGAAGGTACATGGTTGGCCAATTCAAAGTAGGGAAAGGAGATAATTAGATAAAACTTTCTCAACTCTCCGAGTGGGTCTTAACTTTCGAGGCTTGATTAGGAAGCTCTGGCAGAGGCCCTAAGTGGTATGTGAGGAGTGAGGTGGAATGTCCCGGGTCCTGACGGGGTGAACGCGAACCTTCACTGTATTGTTTTAAAATCCGGATCAAACTTCAGGTCAGAGGAAGAGAATCGAAATTGGTGTCATGAAACCAAAGAATTGTTCAAACTGGTTCCTACCCCAGTATCAAGAGCAACTGGAACCCTCTTCCTCCAGGAATCTCAGTTTGAAGGCAAGGTTTTCATTGGACAAACATTTTTACACCGGAGACCTAAACACTGCTGTGGGTGTTGCCGTCTAGAGAAGGATGTAAGGCTGACCAGTAGTGTGATCCTCCGGGGCAGGCTGCCACCTGATGTGAGGTCTCATGGAGCATGGTGAGGTGCTCATAGAGACCTCGTCATGGGACAGAGCAAGGATAACTCCCGAGGAGCAGCTTCATCTGACTAGCTGAAATGTAATTACATGGATAAAGCCATTTGGCCCACTCTGTCCCTTTAGCTAGGAAAGAAATTTAGCAGATAGGCGGCGTCTGCTGTTTCTGTTTCCTTGGTGATTCTCTTCACCCACTTGGGCCTCTCTTCTCTAGTTTGTTTCCAGCAGAATCACGTCAATCCTTTCATTGGTGTTTCACAAACTAGCCGGGTACGATAACACACTTAATCCTGGAGCAGCAGATCTCTGTGAGATGTAGGCTAACCTGATCACATAGTGAGTTCTAGGACAGCCAGAACTACATGATGAGACTCTGTCTCAAAAACAGAAACAACACAAAACAGTGTTTCTCAAACCAGTGTCCATCAAGGTCTTTTTGTTTGGTGGGACTTACTCAAAATGTTCTGATGTCCCACTTTGATGATCCACATATATTAGTTGATCCTTTATTCATTCATTGGTTACTGATTATCAGCTGTGTTCAAGCCAACAGAGTAACCCAAGCCTACTGGCATTAACTCTAACACACTGGTGTGATCTCCGTCTTGAGAGTACTGATGACAGGAATGCCATCAGATGGGGCTTGTGGGGCCGTCACAGGAAACATGAATGCAAGCCTATGGTGCTTCCTCATGCTCCCAACGGCTAGGTGAGACAGCTGGTTAGGGCCCTTCGAATCAAGTCCAGGAGAAGCCAGACATAGACACCAGAAGCCATTTAAGTCCTGAGCCCCAGCGCCACCAACAACACTTCTGCTGTATTCTGTTCATGGAAGAACCTGTCTAGAGTCAAGAGTAAAGGACAGAAGTCAAGCAAAGTCAGAGCCTCTGTGCTGCCTTGACCCTGCCATAACCTTCCATAAGAAAAAAAAGCTTTGTTTTGTTTTTTAAACAATTTTTTTATAATTCTCTATACTCTTTTTCTTCTCTCTCCCAAGCCTGTGTACTCATTTAGAGGTCTTTTATGTCTGAATCTGTCCTATTGTGTATCTGTAATTCTTTTCTGTCCAGGGGTGTTTCTTAAAATGATAAGTGCGTCTAAGGCTGCTTTGCCTTTTGGCTCTGCCCAGTCAAATATGGTGGGGTGGAAGTCTGTTTAGCGCGAGCCATGCTCACAACCCGATTTTCAGGC